TTGATCAACATCAGCGGATGTTGGGAGGATGTCCACTGTCAGCCTAACTACAGATGACCATTCACAGTCAATAGAGACAGTGGGTATATTTTTTTTTATCACTGTATATTTTTCAAGATTTAACAGAACACAATGTAAAAAAAGGGGGGGGGGAATCAGAGGTCAGTAATCTCATATATTATATACTGCATAGTCTTTCTCTGGCATTACAAAAATCCAGCATACATGAAACTGATACAATTTTAATTTCATTTCTGGGCGCAAAATATCTATTACTGTTAATTCAAAGTCAATTTTCAATTGACTTGAACTGAAAATCGACTCAATTCAAAAACTGAGTCAATTCAAAGTCAATTTTTAATTGACAATTTGCAGTGAGTTGGAGTAAGTGTGTTTAATTTTAGAACCATTGTTTTCCAAATGAGTGAACATACATGTCTTACCTCCACACCGAAGGTAAGTGGAGGCTTTAACAGATGGATTTGATAGGAGCTAACATAATTTTGCATGATGTGGATGAAACATACATGAAACACGACAATAAGCATTTGTGACTGGAGGCGAAAATGATTTTGTACATTTTTACTCCCCTAATGTTACACTTCATTCCTGCTGGGCACCAATGTTTCCTCACTGGATTTCAGTTTAAATGTAAAACACTTTATTTCCAAAACATATGCACATTTATATACTTCAGATCAATTGCTTTCGATGGCCAGGGAGTTTTAAACAGTCAAAACAGCTCAAAGGAGACAAATCAAATCTAAATTATAATTATGTGAGCAGAAGTCGGATGTTCATTATATAATTATAATTATAACCAGTGTGCTGTCATTTTTTATGATAATTTCAAAGACTATTATTGTATATTGTATTTGGTATATTTAAATGACCATAATAGAGTATGATATGTATTCAGTAAATTGGGATTAAGGATGATGGAATGATCCCCATCAGATTACCCGTTTTGATAGTAGATACCCACATCAGATCTTTAAGATATCTCTGATCGCTATATCATATTGAGAGCGTTGTAATTACTTTTCTCCCTGCAGCGCTTGCTGCTGTGCCGAGCACCTCCTTGCACTGCCGAGGAGATACCCTTCTAAGAGAAGCTTTTGCTAATGGATAACAGTCAGCCTTACCACTATCATAGTGCCGCTGGCGGAATGTGGGCAAAATGGCAAGGCCCAACTAAACTGGTGTGACTGAAAACATTCTCAGATAGGGCACAATCCATCCATATACACACATATACATGCACAGCAACACACACACCCAGAGGCCAGGAGCTGACAGTAAATAAAACCACAGTCCCTCCTTAATTAGCTCTCTGCCTAAGGGTGAAAACACAGAGAGAAAGTGTGTCAGTCTCTCCCTGTATTGGACGCTAAGCTGCCACTGCATTCCTCTGTCCATGTTTGCTAAGAAAAATGGCATTTCAGCACAATGATTTGGGTACAGATGTAATTGCACAGCCCTTTGTGTACAAAAATATCAAGCGATTGTTTTAAAGTTAGTTGTTCCTTACCTAATTTTTATCAATTCATTTTTAATGGTCTATTTTGGGACAATACAAATAGATAGTTAGACATTTACTCTAATTAATTGCAGTGAATTTGCATTAATAAAGTGAATGTAAATTTAGGTCATGAACGTCACGAGGCATGTGAGTGCAGTGATGCCTCACCCTTTTACTTGTATCCTCATTATAATTTAATAAATTGTGCTCTCCTTTCAATAGCTGTCCATGAGTTACTGACCCTAACCCACATATTAAATAGGTGCTGTAAGCATGAAATTATTATTTTTGAACTGCATCTTATTTATTTTTCATTATTGCAACAGAATACGGAATATGATGTAAAGCCATGGAAAAGTTTTTTTATATAATTTAAATCATCAGTGTAGTAATGGACAATTTTCCTGGTTTGAATGAAAGGCAGTCAGAAACTAGGATAACAGTGCACTACTGACCCCTGCTGGTGAATTGTTAGCTGGAAGAAACAGGTGAATGGGACAATCCAAAAATACACAACTATTGACTTAAAATGACCTTTTGCTTTTTCACTATTTTCTCCAGCTCCATACCCACACTTGAAAAGGCATGTACTGAAAAATACATGACACACAGTCCCTGACAAAATCTATCTATCTATCTATCTATCTATCTATCTATCTATCTATCTATCTATCTATCTATCTATCTATCTATCTATCTATCTATCTATCTAT